TCAATCTTGAATATTTGCTATAATTCTTGTTGTGTTGATGAGATAAGTCATTGATGATACACCTTCTCGTATCATCATAGCAATGAGCTTTTATTTTATTTCACAATTATATCCGGTAGGGTCTCGCCATTATAAATCGCTGCCATACCATTGTTCACTGAAATTTTAGTGGCAGCTGGCTGCACTTAGAGCCACAGAATATATGGACAGTAGTCAATATATAAAACAAAACTGTGCAATTAGCGTTATTAATTTTCCATCGAACAGCGAAGGGAATGAATTTTTGTTGGAAACGATTAGGTTTTCTAATGTGATTAGTAAAGGTCTTTGATCCAACTCACCGAAGATGCTGATAACTGCATACAAATTAAAGTGTAGCACAGCATTGAGTGACAATAGTGCATTTTTCTACTGTTTATCGAAAGGAAAAATTCATCGTGCTAAAGGACTTTTATATCGCAGAACTCTCTTTTATCGCGATACCTGACGATGAAATTTTTCTTTCGATGAATAGTAGAAAAATTGGTGACGAGTGGATAAAAATATCATTTATCGCGATAAATTTGTCGAAAATGCCCCTGCTCTCATGGCTAGTTTTCCTCGAAAGTATAAATGTATGTTTTTTTGTTGCGATAACTGGCATCTTTTTGAAATCTAGTTTTTTGATTGATGGTTTTCTGTCGAATGAGTACATTTTATTGATAACAATTAACTGTACAAATGTATACATTTTTATAGAAAGTATAGTTTGTATACAACATCTGACTATAGTCAGATCAAACAAAACCATTACATTATTCAGACTATTGTTGTTCTTTCTCTTTTCCTCTCACTGTATTGTGATTCATTTTCTCTCTCTCACTATCAGCAACAACTACTAGTTGCAGTACTAATCAGCAATTACTGATTTTTCTAACCTGGTTTTTGCGAGGTTTTTAGTTGACCTTTAAAGGACAAACCTATCCTGTAAGTTGTTTACAGTAAATTTTCAATAATCAGGCTAACATTCAAACCACTAATCGAAGATCTACAAACTGCAAAAGACTCAGATGTTTAAATTTAATTATTTCGGGATAGTATGTATTTTAGACGAACCTCTACTACGATTTTCTATCAACTTTTTTGTTTTTGCTTTTTTCCATGAACAAAAATTTTTCCGACGGTTAGAAAATTGAATAAAAACACTTCGAAATCATATTAAAAAATCAGTAATATACAGTTCGATGCGTCTTCATCTCCTCTTTCCAACAGTGAAAACCACAGTTCTCTATCTTGTTGCTATCAAACGTTATGCAAAAAGTACTTACGAGCATTCATGTTCATGCTACCAGCACATATGCGAAAGAAACAGATCTTATCGAAATTTTATTATTATAATATTAGTTGAATATTGATCAAATAGCATAGAAAAATAGAGCGAAAGACGCTCTATCTGTTCATTAAAAGCGAAATGTTTTTGAAGCGCTCCTTAAGAAAATAAAGTACCTCCCTCACTACTTTTGGATTGCCCTAAGTATTTTTAAACCGTTTCTAGATGTTCAGATAACTACTATCCATTTCAAAATAAACGACACTTGGTCGCATTCTTAATACCTTTTTGCAGGAACATGATAGCGATCTGCGGTTTTTTCGCATTTTCTAATAGCCCCGAAATTTTACTTCCAGAAACTGAAAACCGAAGATCGCTATCATGTTCCTGTAAAAGGTTATTAAGAATGCAGCCAAGTGTCTTTTATTTGGAAATGGATAGTAGCTACGCGTTAGATTCCAGTACAACAGTATACAGAAACCCACTTTTACCGGTCTTCTCACAAGGTAGGATTCTTACGTACCAACCGCATACAAACGGAATTACGTTTGTATTTTCTCTCTGCATAATAACTAATGTTCAATCAATAAATAGCGAGAAAACAAATTCGAAGAGAAATGAAGTATACCGCCAATTCACACTACAGCAGAAACTCTCTTGTTCGAAAAGAGAGAAAGAGAATCTCTGGCAAAGAGGAAACATATCGAAATACCATATACACATGACCATTGGAAAAGCACAAATATTATAACTAGACACTCAATCGTGATATTTTTATACGACAAAAAAGAGCCTTTTGAAACCCAACAGAAAAAAACACGATAACTTTTCTCAGAAGTTGTCACGATGAATCTGTTATATTCAGTAATCGTAGTAGTTATCGCTATGTTTTTTCATATCGAGATAAAACAGGGAAAAATTAATCTCCTCATTCATTAGGATAAAAATTTAATAGCGATACTTTTAGCTTCTTGTCGAGATGGCCCTTTTATCACGGTAATACTCGATACAAATCTACTGGAGTTTATCGCGATACTTCTGTTTTCAAATATAAAGATCACATATATTACGATAATACTTTTATTACGAGAAAGTCCGATAAATATTTATCACGGTTTATTGACATACACGTATTTACGACGCTAAATAACCAGTGATCTGGCTCTTCTCTCTCTTAATGTATCTCTTGAGAAGGACTTTTATAGACGTCAGCGATCAACTTTACCGGTGTTAGTTCAGTCTTTTACTAGTAGTAGTCCTGACTGTATGGAACATTGTTTATTCGAAGAGTATATGATAATTTTGACTTTCGGGTAGCGTTCACATCTTTTTTTCTACAAATTTATTAAAATGTCATGTATTTCAATGCATGTGTCGAAATAAGGAAGATATAATTTCGACACATATAAGTATATTCTTCACTGAAGAAGAACATGAAAACATGTGCTCTTTTCAAAAACAATATATGGATCGATTAGTTTAGTTTAAACTCTATTATTCAAGAGAGAGAAATAAGAATAGTCACTTTATACAGATGCGGCCTCAGCCATTATATCAGAGGAAAATGACGTCGTAAATGTTATAAGCTATCACAGGTAAACAGCAAGAAAAAAATAACAATAAGAGGGAAAGAAGGATAAAAAGTGTAAAGGTGAATAACAAGAAGAATAAAATGATGCACTCTAAAAATTTAAGGCAGTACACAGACGCAAGCGAAAGCGCAACATCAGTGTGGGGATCACAACAAATTTGGATGGTTAGTTTAAAAATTTAAAACGGTTTGTAGCAGTTATGTAGTCTACCACTGATCTGGCTACAAGTAACACTGTTTTTTGTTACAGAAGAGAATGTGTTGAATTTTAGCTGGTTACTGTGTGAGGTTGTACTCACTCACTTCTCCTATTTATTTAAGAAAGTGAACGGCTATATATAGTACACAAGTTGAACAACAGTTATGCAAGAGTTGCGCATAAGTTACATAAGAGCAGAAATAGTTTAGAAAAATCCCATTAAGAAGCAAGAGTTGCGCAATAACAGAAAGAAAGGAAAAGAAGAAGAAAACACAGTCTTATGAGCTGCCAGGAATGGCAGATCATAACAGCGCCAAACAAAGATGATGAAAAAAATCATTAGTACAACGACTAGGGCGAAGAAGTTAACACGAGAAAAAAAAACAAAGAAAAAGCACAAAAAAACAGGAACAAGAGAAGATAACATAAACATGAAAACAAACGGAAAGAGGGGAAAGAGTACATATACACAGGGTCAGCTTCTCATCCTTGGACATCGAAGCCTGTCTTGCCACCCGTCTTGTCGAACGTGTGGACTGGGAATGCCCTTGTCGTCGAAATATTCATCGTCGAGGCTAAGTTCCCATTTCGAGCCTCAAGCTGCCACTACTCGATGTCCCACCACCGATCCGTTGGACTTGTGCGAATGTCAACACAGCCCTACTTGCCACCGAACGCAGGACTTGCCCTTGTCGCTGAATCTGCTTGATCGTTGAGGCTGCCTTGTCGCCGAATCTGCGTGATCGTCGAGGCCGCCTTGTCGCCGAATCTGCTTGATCGTCGAGGCCAAGTGCTCGTTCGGCCTTCGAGTTGCCACACTCGAAGTTGCTTTGACTTGCCTAAATGTCGACGGTGTAGTTGGTCGAGGCAAAGTCATTCATTTGAAGCCTCTTGGTTGCCACCACCAAAGGCCAATCGTCAAATTGCTCGAAGAGGAGAGTTACCATCCCTTGAGTAAACATACGACGCAGCACGCCATTGTGCCGTTTCTTTTTTCATTGTCTTGTGATTTGCCTGATCGACGATCGACGATGATCAGAAGACTACAACAAACTTCTGAGCCACATAAATCTTTCATCACCCGAACCGCACCGCATCGTGATGGAAAAGACGACCGGCCGGCTAGTGCACCAATTGTGAGGTTGTACTCACTCACTTCTCCTATTTATTTATTAAAGTGAACGGCTATATATAGTACACAAGTTGAAAAACAGAACGAAGAAGAAACCTAAAAACTTACTGTTGAAATTAGAGCACTCTATATGTCATATATTAACATCGTATCGTTCTTTTCCGTTCTCTTCTTTTATGTAGAAAAAACACTTTTCACCTCCATCGTTTCTTACTTTTTCTTTTTCGTTTCTGTGAATAAATGTATCGAAATATAGAAAGCACTTGAAGCTATTCAAGCGATAACTCAGGGCGTTCTTACTATGAAGCAGCAATATTCATCTACAAAATTCGGGAAAAAAAAGATACACGTGATAGAAGATCTATAATTCACTCTTTCCGATCGCAATAAAAGCTGCGAGTATATGGGATTTAAGCAGTAGTTTATAAACGTATTATTCAAGCAAAAAGCAAAGGTATGTCGACTCTTGGAGTAGTAATTTCTTATCGGCTATAAATAATCAACTTTCAAGAAAACTACGGCTGGAAAATGTATCATCAGAACCCACCACCTGAGGCAGTCCCTGCTGCGTTGCCATCATCTACTGCAATGTATGTAACTCATTAGCGCAAGTAGGGATTAAGTAATTAAAATTGTAATTTCTTCTAGAAAAAATCGCAGATGGTTTTCCGCAGTTCCATTAATTGCCTTATGCTGTCTTGGGATATCAGGTTTCCTGTTAGTAGCAACTATTGTTTTAGCCTTGATACCTGTGTATCTACCAAAACGTGCTGGTGGAGTAGTGGTATCTGAAGCTAATCAAAGTAAGTCGAGACTATATATTTCTTACGATGGGTGGTAAACAACCTCGACAGATTTGCGCGTCTCCTAGGGGCATTCGTCTCTCCAACTGATATTATAGAATTCATCGAAAAACAGAACGAAAAGTGTTCGTGCTGTATCTCTTCATAAAAAGATTAACATTATGCCCCGTTTTCTGATGTCTTTTCCCAACACCTGCAGAACAAGAAGACTTTTTTTACCCCTCATTTTTTTAATTGGTCCCCAAAAGCGAGAAAAAACCATGAAACGTGCGTCGGAACCTCCTTCAAAATTTTGAACATCATTCCGATCCCGTTCAAAACTGATCAAAATGTTCAACTTTTAGACTTTTCAACTTTCAGATTTCTTAGACTCTATTAGAGTTTTAGATTTTCAGATTTCTTCGACTTTTAGACTTGTTAGACTTTTAGATTTTATAGACTTTTCGGCTTTAGAATCTACCAGTCTATTAGACTTTTTGATTCTTCAGTATATTAGAGTTCTAGGCTTCCAGATTGTTTCAACGATTGAACCTTTAGACTTCCATTTCTCAAACTTTTACACTTCTAGAGTTCTTAGACTTTTAGACTTCTTAGGCTTTTAGGTTTTTCAGATAATTAGACTTGTAGATTTCATAGACTCTTCCGCTTTCAGATTTCGCAGTCTATTAGACTTTTAGACTTCTAGATTTCTTAGATTCTTAGACTTTTAGGCATGTTCGGCTTTTAGATCTATCAGTCTATTAGACCGTTTGCCTTTAACACTTTTCAATTCTTAGGCTTTTAGATTTTATAGAGCTTTGGGCTTTAAGGCTTTTAGACTCCTCGACTTTTCGATTTCTTACACTATTAGGCTTCTACACTTATAGATTTCTTAGACTTTCAGACTTCTTAGGCTTTTAGATGTCATAGAGTTTTCGCCTTTGAGATTTCTGAGTCTTTTAGACTTTTAGATTTCGTAAACTATTAGACCTTTAGACTTGTATATTAAGCTTGAAGGTATAGGAAGGTGAAAAGTCTAAGAAATCTATTAGTGTTAAAGTCTAAGAAGTCTAAAGGTCGAAGAAGTCTAGAGGTCTAGAAGTTCTAAAGGTCTAAAAGTTGAAGAGGTCTATAAGCCGAAGATGTCTAAAAGTCTAAGAAGTCTGGAGGTCTGGAGGTCTAGGAAATGTAAAACTCAAAGCAGCCTAAGAGTCTATAGGTCTGATGAGTGCTGATGTGAATTGATCTTTTCTGACGGAGATGGTATGACCTTCATGGAGCGGATGTTTCGAGAAGGTGTAACGTTAATTACATGTGGTAGTAAAGTTTCCGGTCAAAATGACTTGGATATCTCTCAGCGCGATGAGTGAAAAAAGTGGGGATCGCAATACACTATTCATGTTTGAAACGGAAAAAAGGTGGAAATGCGAATTTTCTCTCCTATTCTGAAAATCAAGATACGCTTTTCATAATTTTTTAAACTTTCTTTAGCATCATCGGAATTTTATCTGGTATATATGGTAATTAATGACGGAACAAAACGAGAAATACGTGAAAAACGTGGGTATTTTGATGATCCAAAAACTAGTTCTACACAACAAGAAAAAGAGCAGACAGCCGCACAAGTGAGTTACCGGAGTAGAGATTGATTGTTAGAAGTTGAGTTAAAAGACATTGCACGAGTTCATCGAGCAGCTTGCTACAGAAGGCAAAACATGAAAAAATGTAACATCACTTTTTCATTCGACTCTCCATCCAATTTTAGGGATACGAAAAAGTCTTTAAAAAGTCATATCCAAACGAGTAATAAAAGTTTTGCGAGAAGTGCTCAAAAAACCGACGGTAAATCAATTTTTCAGTATTTTGAGACTTTTTCTTTTCTGTTTTCCACTCTAAGATGTTGTAATGTATGAGTCGATAGAGCAAAAATGTTCTTCAAAATTAGTTCATTTTCAGTTCTCTCAACCATACTTTGCTGTAGAATGGGATACTTTTGAATTTTGAGTCTTTTAGATATTCGGAAAAAACTCAGATTTCGATTAAATCTTTTCTGTTAAATCAGAAGACAAATTTCGGGGTTCCTCAGGGCTCCATCCTGGGTCCACTGCTTTTTCTTGATGACTTACCGCAAAATCTGGAATCCTTCTATAAGCTTTATGCTGATGATGTCTCTATTTTACACTATGGCTCAACTCTTCAACAATCTACAGATATATTAAATAGAGATCTTGAAAAGATATTACAGTGGTGTATAATGTGGCAAATTTATTTAAATATTAATAAATATGAGGCTCAACTATTCTCAAAACGAGCAATTACTTCGAATTCTTTTCCTCATCTAATAATTCAACGGCAATCGGTTAAGGAAGTTACGCTCCATAAGCATCTTGGACTATTTTTTGCTTCTGATCTCTCTTGGAATTCCTATATGGACTACGCTATCTGCAAAGTTAATTCAATCCATAATTATGTGCGCCTTGTTAAATGGAATCTCAATCGTGCTGCGCTCAGTTGCGTATATA